CTTCCTTCCTTCCTTCTTTCTTTCTTTCTTCTTTCTTTCTTTCTTTCTTTCTGAGACAGAGTCTCGCTCTGTCACTCAGGCTGTAGTACAATGGCGTGATCTTGGCTCACTGCCACCTCTGCCTCCTGGGTTCAAGTGATTCTCCTGCCTCAGCCTCTAGTGGCTAATTTTTGTATTTTTAGTAGAGATAGGGTTTTGCCGCATTGGCCAGCCTCGTCTCAAACTCCCGACAGCAAGTGATCCTCCTGCCTTGGCCTTCCAAGGTGCTGGGATTACAGGTGTGAGCCACTGCACTCATCCAGTATTTTTTTTTTTTTATAGCTATGCAAGAATAGCTTAACACAGATTCCTTTGTGGTTAGAGAACACATTTCTATATGATTTCAATTCATTTAAATTTGTTGAGGTTTGTTTCGTTTATGGCCCAGAATATGGCTTATCTTAATATATGTTCCATGGGCACTTTAAAGAATGCGTGTTTTGCTACTGTTGGGTGTTCTAAAAATGCTGTTTAGATCCCAGTGGCTCATTATGTTGTTGACTTCTTTTATATCTTGCTGATTTTCTGTCTAATTCTTATGTTTATTGTTGAGAGAGTAGTTTTGAAGTCTCTGACTAATTATAGGCTTTTCTATTTCTCCTTTCAGTTTTATCAGGTTTGGCTTTATATATTTTGCACCTCTGTTGCAAATCCTATACATTTTAGGATCTCGATATTGTCTTGGTATAGGCATCCTTTTATCATTATTGGAAATCTAGGCTCCCCACTCAGTCTTTGCTGGTAGGGGCTACAGTTGTTTTTTCTCTGGTTATCACTGGCATAGAGAGATTATTGTCTAAAAGTTTTCTGTCTTGCTAGGCTAATTCATTCCTAGTCCTTTGGCTAGAGAAAACAGGATTTGATTGGGACTCTTTTTGTCTGTGCCTGTTAGTGTATTTTTGGTTGCTGGCTTCTTTAACTTCAAGTCTAAGATATATGAAATAAAAACAAAATTCATGTCATTCTTCCCATCTGAAGACCCTATGTGTTCGTCTGCCTTCTTTCCACCTTTTTGAGTCTTATGTTTGTTTTGTATATAATGTCCAGAGTTTTTAGTTGTAATAGCAAGATGAATAAGGCAAAGGATGTCTATTCCATCTTCTTCTATCTTATTTTAAATAAATGCAACTATTTCACACTCTCCCTACTGGCATTTGCATGTTTTAAAGAAATTAAATACTGTGACTTAAAATGAATCAAAGCAATGATAATTTTAGAAAACCATTATGCTGATCCTAAAAGAGGCATCTTTTGGACTTTGGTAGTTTATAGCAATGGTCATGTAGAGTCTGCTTGTTTGCTGCAATCAAGATTGCTTTTTCAGATTCCACAGAAGGAATGACAGGTCCCTCTGAATGTCGAACCCCATTGCGTGGGTTTGTTTTTGTGGCCTAAAGTGCAGAAAAACCAGCGTTGCAAATGTTGAGCTTTCCTGTCTGTAGTTTGTGTTAAGGAAACCATAGTTATTATAATATCGAATGTGCCTTTTCCAGCTCTGCACTGAAGCCTACTCCCCAAACACACACTCTCCCATCTGGAGATTATGATCCAACTTCTGAAGCACAGGCCTTGCCTTTAAAAGTCACGTGTCTCCAGCAATGGATGAGCAGCCTGCTCTTCAAGCATCTCTCTATGAATATCATTTCTCACAAGTGAGCTTTTGTTAAGGATTAGATGGCAGGGAGTTCAAGGTTAACTCTTCCAATAATAAGCACTAGGAATGGTGATAGGCCCATCTTGTTGATTAACGGTTATGCTTTGCCAGTCAGTGAGGTGGGTGGAGAAGAGAATGAGTGCCTAACCTCCAGGGGGCTGTGATGATCAAATGTATGTGAAATGCAATGCTCATTGCCTTGCACCAAAGAAGCCAGTAACAAATGGCAGTTCCTCCCCTCTACCATACCCAAGTCCCTACCTCCCAACTCCTGTTCCCCATTCCGTATCCCCACATCCACCCTTTTACCCTTATTTCTTCTCCACTTCACAGGTCACCAGAGATGGCAGTTTCCATAGTAATCAGCATCTTCATTAGTTCAGATTTTAATGAGCCCTAAGTGCCTGTCTGGATTGAGTTTCTAGCCTATATTAGAGGGAAGTTTCCAGTGAGCTCAAGGGCTGTTGAGAAATTGTCAAGCATAAGCCATTATAACCAAGTTGTCCTAACTAGACAGAATAGCACATGTTGTTCTTTGAATCTAAGCAGAGAGGATGTGAGGAAATCATCTCTTGTCCTGGGATTACAGCTCCTGGGCATCTAGAGGATAACTGTCTTCCTAGAAGTTGCCAATGAGGGATTGTATCACTGGACTGTAGGTGTTGGAATGTGACTCAGGAGATACAGCAGATTGGGCAACAAGGAGCCAACCTCACTGGGGGCTTTCGAATAGGTCACTGTGGGTTTATTCTTTCCTCATCCTCCCACCTGTCCATTAAGCTTCCTGCTCTGTTCAGGCCTGGTTTCTGTGCTGCCCCTACCTTGTTCCTGACCGTTCTCCTACGCTGACCTACTTTGCTCATTCATTCTATCAGTGATTCTCATGCCTCATCCTCCCAAGTAGCTGGGATTATAGGCACATGCCACCACGCCCAGCTAATTTTTTGTATTTTTAGTAGAGATAGGGTGTTGCCATATTGGCCAGGCTGGTCTTGAACTCCTGGCCTCAAGTGGTCCACCCACCTCAGCCTCCCAAAGAGCTGAGATTACAAGAGCAAGCCACTGTATTCAGCCTGTAAAATTTATTTCTTATTATGACCTTGAGGGAGCTCTTTTTGCAAAATTCTATTATAAAAAAATTCAAACCTACAAAATAGTTGAAAGAATTGTACAGTGAACACCCACCACCTAGATTGTACAGATATTTTGCCATGTTTTATTTATTATATCTTTACCCATCAATACATTCCTCTATCCATCCATCAATATATTTACATGCATTTCTAAGTAAATTGCAGACATCAGCACTCTTTTTTTTTGTTTTGTTTTTTTAGAGACAGGTCCTCACTCTGTCACCCAGGCTGGAGTTCAGTGGCACAGTCATAGCTCACTGTAATCTCTAATTCCTGGACTCAAGTGATCCTCCTGCCTTGGACTCCCACAGTGCTGGGATTACACGTGTAAGCTGCCATGCCCTCCAGCATAGTATTCTTTACCCCTAAACACTTCAGAATGAATGAGAGTTCAACATTTGTTTACTATTGTGGTAAAATCCACAGGCAGTGAAATATACAAATTTTAAGTGTATACTCACTGAGTAATGAGGTTTTGATCTGTGTAACTCAAAGTCCTATCAAGATAGAGAACGTCACTGTTACCCATAAAGATTTCCATCATGCCCCTTCCTAGTGAATACCCCAGCACAGATAACCACTGCTCTGATTTGTTTCACTAGATTGGTTTTGCCTATTCTAAAATTTCATGTGCACAGAATAATATGTATTAACATTTGTTTCTTCATTCAATAACAGATTTATCCAGTACCTATGATAGCTCACAGACATACATGTGATGTCTCTTCAATGTGAGTAATGAGTTCTCCCAGACAGACCAAAAAGCTGAAGGTATTTCTAAGGCCTGGCCTGTGACCTCCTCCCCTCTGCCCTCCAATCATGTTGTCACTGAGACACCATAGACAGCTGGGCCTCAGAAACAGAAATGCAAGTCCTGTGTCCCATTTGAGCCCTAGGTTCCTTCCTGACCATCACGCTCCACCATCCAAACTGGCCCTGGAGGCCTCTTGCCAGCTGCACACCCACACTTACTCACTTCCCACACCAGGGCTTCATCCACATTTCTCTAGCCAGGTGTTCAAGTGAGTGTCACAATCTCAGTCCAGGCCATGGGTAAAAGTACTGGTGGGAGGGCAGCTGGAAGAAACTGGACAAGAAGAGGCATTATATGGTCCTGTAATTCTGTGGAGGGGTGGTACAGGGGCGGAGACTAGGTAGGGGTTGGGGAAGAAAACATGAAGAGAGGAAACATCACAGACTCCTGAGCAATCAGGGCTGGGCAGTGGAACAGTGCTTACCTGGAGCCACTGGAACCCTGGGCACAATGCTCTTGCCCTCTAAGAAGGACCTCAAGACTGCTCTGGAGGTGTTTGCTGTTTTCCAGTGGGCCCTCAGTGCCTTACTTATTGGTGAGTCTTCAGTCTTTGGTAGGGTGACCAATCATCCTGGCTTGCCTGAGACTGAAGGATTTTAGGGTTGCAGGATGTTCAATGGTCAAGCTAAGGTTTTTCCAGTGAAACCAGGAAGGTTGCTTACACCAGCCTCTGGCCTGACCCACTTGGCCATGGTATCTGTGGGATCTGTGAGTGTCCTTGTGGGCATGTATGTGTGCATATGGATGTGTGCCTATGCAGGGGTGTGTATATGCGTGTGTGTGCACATGTGCTTTGCTGCAAGTGTGAGCCCTCTTGGGTCTACACTGGGGTGTAGAAAGCATGTTTTGGGAAGATGAGGAGCAGTTCCACTTAGGCTAGCCAAGGAAAAGGGCTTAGCTGCAATGACAGGGACTCAAAACCACCAGCGAGAGACAGTTGGGCCAGGTGGCAGACCAAGGCTCTGGAAACCTCATCCAGAGGAATTCAACCATTTATCCATCCATGTCTTCCAACATCTACACTGCAAACACTTTGTGAAAGTCATTTCTATGCTGACCACTGTGTTCTAAATGCTGAAACAAATCATTACTGTGGGAAGGGGTCCTGGAAAACATTACCGCCTTTCTAGCGGTTCACGTGAGTACCAGTTAGAGTCAGGGACATGAATTAAGTGACCTTGTAAGCTATCTGGGAATAAAGAATGCAGGTAGGCCCTTGTGCACAGAGCAGGCACAGAGGCATGCCAGTGAATAGGGAGGGCAGGCATTCCTAACCTCACCTCACCTGTTTTCAAATTCCAGGTCTACTACTTACTACCTGTGCATTTGTTAGCAAGGTATTTAGCCTTTCTGGGTCTTATTTTCCTCATTTGCAAAGTGGGAGAATTTAGGATGTATTAATCAGGATGGTCTAGGTATGCCATGGTAATAAATTTACCCTGAAATCTCAGTGGCTTAACCCAACAAATGTTTATTTCTTGTTCATGTTGAATGTCCAACAGAGGTTGGTGGGAGTCACTGCTTACTGTGGACACTAATATTCAGGCTGATGGCGGCACCACCAAATTGTGTCACTGCAAAATGGGAGGGAAAGTGAATGGAGAACTCATCTGCAGTCCTTACTACCTCCACCCAGAAGTGATAGGCAAGAAACCATGAACTGTCACCTCATTTTGAACGTCCTTAATTACTGATGAGATTGAACATCTTTTCATGTTTATCAGCAATTAGTATTTCTTTTTCTGTCAACTGCCCATTTATGACAGATGGCAGTAATTTGGACCAGGCCAGTAGTGATGGTGATGCAGAGAAGAGTAAAGAAGAGGGGAGATTCAAGAAATTGGAGTAGAATTAATAGGATTTGAAGATGGGGGGCATGAGAGAAATGGAGGAAGCAAGACGGAGGGATCAGGTCCCAGTGTGAGCTGGTGGGGAGGGGGGCAAGTGGAGCAGAGAAGGGTTAAAGAGGAGAGTGGCTATGTATCCAGGGAGAAAATGGATTCAAAGGATTCTTAACTGGAGTTTGACTTTGGGGTATACAAACAGGTACAGAAAGGACATGCAGAAGAGCTCTTGGTCTTGGCAGCAGATGTGGGCTGCAGGTGTTTGCCCCTTCCTCACTAGCTCACATAGGGCGACTGGGGCAATGGCCCTTCAGAGGCCTCTCAGCTCTTTGGTCTAGGAGTGCAATTGAATCCATTTGGACCCTAAAGGCCTTGAGAGAAGGCCCTCCCAATAAGTCAGGAAAATAGGGAGGATATTGGTATTTTAGTTCCCATTTGCAGAGGAGAAACTGAGGTTCAGCAACGTCTTTGGTCACACACATTAAGTGGTAGATCCAAGATTCATCACATCACAGGGCACCCCACCTGAGGCCACACTTACAAGATGTCACCAGCCTAAGTTTGAGCAAAGCCTAAAGGAAACTGGGAGTGTCTTCTGGACTAGACCCATGCCTCTCTTTACTTCTTGAAGAAGTCAGTAGTGTCATATGGTGCTTATCAAAACCTTAAAACTGCTGGCCTTTGCTCCACCCTTAATTCTCTTCCCCATAGGCAATGCTTTCCAACTTTGTTGGTTCTTTCTTCTGGAATTTACTTCCACATTTCTAAATCATTATTTGCTGATGTAACAATTTTAGACATTGTCTATTGACTTCCTAACAGGGAAGATTAGAATTTGGCTGTATATACTATCACTAGAACGTCCTCTTCCTCTATCCTCCCAAAATTGTTATACCATGGGGTTTGGTTAAATGCCTATGACTAGAAAATATGATTCATAATTGAGCTATTTATTCATCAAGATTATATTTCCTTTCCCATGGAATTTCTTGTTTTCCCTGAAGTTAATAATTACCTCATTTTATTTTATTTTTTAATGTAATATTTTAAAATCAGTTTTTGAATCTATATACTAAATATTTCACAGAAATAAAACTTTTTCCACTTAACATAAGGATTACAAATACCTAATTCCAATCCTAGAAGTATCATCATTGCACTTTGACAAAATAATTTCAAAATTTATCTAGAAAAAGAAGCAGTTGAGACTAGAGAAGAGGCAGCACAGTTGTGAAAGCTCCCTATGAAATGATGGGCAGAAAACTGTTACATAAAAAGCTTCACAAACTCTAGAATTCACAGATAAAATTACTGAGTACAGCTTGGGAGAGGGCTCACTCCTGTAATCCTAGCACTTTGGGAGGCCAAAGCAGGCGGATCACCTGAGTTCAGGAGTTCGAGACTAGCCTGGCCAACATGGGGAAACCCCGTCTCTACTAAAGATACAAAAATTAGCCAGGTATGGTGGTCCACGCCTGTAATCCTAGCTATTGGGAAGGTTGAGGCACAAGAACCACTTGAACCTGGGAGGCAGAGGTTGCAGTGAGCTTAGATCATGGCACTGTACTCCAACCTGGGCAACAGAGCAATAAAAAAATTACTGAGTACAATGTTCTTGAAACAGACACACAAATTTCACATTTCATAGTGAAATATCCTAAAGCCATATAGGAGATGGGTTTCTTACCACAAGTATTAGGAAAATCATTCATTTCATTCAGAAAGAAAGTCCAGTTGTAGCCATACCATACACTGAAATGTATTGTAGTTAATTGCCTGATTTTACATTTCTTTTGTTATCTATTAGAAATCTATTATCATGAATTCATCTTCTGAATGTCTGCAGACATGTCAATCTCTCAGTATGGGCACACGCGGCAAGAATCTAAGTCCCCGCATCCTTTCATTTCCTTGAGCACATCGCTGCTGGAACCCAGCGTCTTCCTGTTACAATTTGGCCTCATACACAGCTGTCACCTCCAGGGCCCTTGAGGCGCCTTGGGTGCAAAATTTTAAGAAGGTGCTCACTCTCAGGGCTATGCAAGTACTTGCATGGCCCAAGAGTGAGTTTCTTGCTCAATATTGTGTCCTGGGCACCTTGCTCACCTCTCTCTAACCCTGGCCCTGCTTGCTGCCTTCCTTCGTTGGGTCCTTTTTTTCCCGGATCCTATGCCTTCCTCTTTCTTGGTTTACTTCCTCATTTTGGTGAAGCACATTCTCCAGTAGTTTTCTGAGACAGGAACATGGGAGACAAATGATCTGAGACTGTGTGTATCTGAAATTGCCTTTATTCCACTTCTATACTTGATTAATAATTTGGCTGCATATATAATATCTTAGCTGTGCTAATGTAAGTATTTGAGTCTAGAGTCTGTTTGGTTCAATTTTTCAGGGAATAATCCTCCTATCATCCAGTTGTGTAGGGGAGGAGAGGGAGCCTGGGGTTCTAACTAATTCCTTGGCAGACTTTCAACCAGTCCTCCAGTTTTTCTAGCCCTGTGCCTCATCCCTGCCTCTTGTGACACCTGATGCCTCCAAATTTTGAGTCTTTCCTAGATTCTTCAGTGCAAACAGGCTCACTTCTTGTAGGCATCCCCCTTGCAGGTAACTAGATTTTAATTTTTTTTGTTCTAAGTCAGTTACCCCCTCTTCCATCTGCTTTCCTACATGCAAATGTTTTGCTGATATCTCTTATCTGCTGTTGGCATCTCATTAATTCTCTTTCTCCTTGTGTATCTGTATTAAAAAAAAACATTTTAATGATAATTTTCATGGAGCTCGAGCAAGAACTCAAGGCAAAATCTTGTGTTCAACATGCGATGTTCAATTAGAAGTGTTCTGTCTTTTCTAACCTTTTATTGACCCACTTTCCCAAACAATCTTACCTACAGCTGCCTTAAAAATTGGGTCCAGTAATAATTCTGAGTGTGGCTCCCTATGACTCATCTCTAGTAACTCTTCCTAACTATGCTAACCTGCAGTGTTCCTCTCTTATTGCCCAGTACCTTATTCTATTCCGGTTTGCATTTTTCTTTGTTTGCCATCTTGTGTGCTCCCAACCGGGCTAAAGATAGGTCTTTGCTTTCCCTGGTATTCCCTTCACTGATGCCTAAGAGAGAAGATATAGAGAGGAGGATGTGAATTGGAGGAAAACTGTTCCAGGATTCCCCACCTCTGGTAGCCCACCACTGGTTCACTGCCATTGAACACACAGCAGAGAGAGCCCAGTGCAGTGCTGGAGCAGGGCCCAGGAAGGAGAGGGCTTACAGTGTGAAGCTCAGCTGGGGAGGGAGACACCTTGCCTTCTAGACCTGAATCAGGTTCCCAAGGCCAGATAGGAGAGGGGGCTAGAGACATGGGCAGGTTGGCCAGGTGCTGGGATGAAGAAGTGAGAGTGTTGAGTGGGCATGGGTGAGAGAGAGTGTGCGTGACCTTGGGGTGGACAGAACTCCAGAGAGAGGGTAAGTGTGAGGGACTGCTTGAAATTCATTAACTTTGGGCTGGGCTTCCTGCAGTAATGACTTCGATCGTTGTCAACCTCTACCTGGTGGTATTCACACAATACTGGCTTGTTACTGTGCTTATTCTCACCTGGCTGGTTTTTGACTGGAAGACCCCTGAGCGAGGTAAGGGTCCTGCTGGTCCTGTGACGAACATGTCACATGCTCTTTCCCCTTCTCTCATCACAATCCTGAGAGACTCTGGCCAATTCCCAGGCAACCCTTCAGCCTGTCCCTCCCTGGGCTAGAGAGGCTGAGGGAAGGGGCCCTTTTAAGGTGGTAGAAAGGCCCAGATCAGACCTGGAGTAGGTTAGGGAGGGGCAGCTAGTGAAGCAGAAGCTAGGCCTGTCCTAAATTGCCCTGATGTGCCAACCTTGGTTGCCACATCAGAGGCCAGGAAACAGCATGGAGTGAGAGCACCCTGGGGCAGGCCCACAGTGGGAATGGGCAAAGCTTGGCTGTATTGCTTCTGTTTTCAGGTGGCCGCCGGTATGCCTGTGTGAGGAACTGGCACCTGTGGAAACACTACTGTGATTACTTCCCTCTCAAGGTCAGTAGCCCCAGGTCCCCACTCAGGCCTGGGTCCAGCTCCAACTTCAGTGCTAGCAGTTGGGTCAGGCTAGGGGTGGAGGGTGCCATCCACATTGAGGCTCTTGAGAATGACGCCCCCTGGAGTTGTACATTGGGCAACCTGAATGGCTAGCCCTAGCAGTCCTTGTCCTTTCAGGTCTCTGACCAAAAGAGGAGTTCTCTACCCTGGGGATAGCCCTCCTGATTCTACTTTCTTCCACAGCTTCTGAAGACTCATGACATCTCCCCCAACAGCAACTACATTCTCGTCTGCCACCCTCATGGGATCTTGGCACATACATGGTTTGGCCACTTTTCCTCAGAGGGTTCAGGCTTCTCCAGGATGTTTCCTGGCATCACCCCTTACACACTCACACTGGGATCCCTTTTCTGGATGCCTTTCCTGAGAGACTATATAATGGCTACAGGTGAGTTGGCTCCTAGGAGACAAAGCCAAAGAAAAAATGACTCCCCAGGGAGAAGTATAGGAGGATGCATGAGAGCAAGGCCAGCTTCTGATCCCCTCTGGTCTGAAACAGCTATCATAGGCTCACCTGCCTGATGTGAGACTCCTTGCGCTCCCCCTCCTTTGAAGCGGTAGGGATGAAATGCAGGGGTTTGGGAAGTGGCCAATGGCTGTTTGGCTTTTTCTATCCCCCAGGGGCCTGCTCCGTGAGTGAATCCTCCATTGACTTTCTGCTGACTCATAAAGGCACAGGCAACATGCTCATTGTGGTGGTTGGTGGTCTGGCTGAGTGCAGATACAGCCTGCCAGGCTCTTCCACCCTGGTCTTGAAGAACCGGTCTGGCTTTGTGCGCATGGCCCTTCGGCATGGGTAAGGGCAGCTCCTGTCCAGGCTGGGGGAGGGGATCCAACAGTGTAGCAGGGAAAGAAGAGGGGGTTTTGAGGAAAGGACATCCACAGAGAGAGGAGGAAGTATACAATACATTCTTATTAACTATGGTCATCAGAAAGACAATTTTTATTTGTCAATTAAAAAATAAATAATAAGAAAAAAGAAGGAGGAGGAAGGCTGCTTCTGGGTTGAAGAGCTTGGGCCAGGTCCTGGAGGCATTTCTGCTGAAGCAGAAAGGTCAAAGTGCCAGCCCTAAGCCTGTTCTCTCTCATACCAGCCTCTCATCTGGGCTGGTCCCTCTATACAAGGGGACAGGCAACAATCCTGTCTGAGAGAGCGCCAAGCTTAGCTTGTGTGTTAAAGCAAAGAAAATCAACTGGCCTGGCCCTTGGGTCTTACCTTCTAGTGTTTCAGACCCAGGGGTTCCCAGGAGGGTCTGGGTTTGCCTCCTCCTTTAGCTTACTGCTGCTTTGCCCCCACAGGCAGCCAGGGGTAGGCTGTGGAGCCTCCACACTCAACTTGGACCTAAGCACATCTGGGATGGGGTCTGGGAAGCCTGTAGTCAGACCTAGGGATCACAGGCCATCAGCGTTTCTGGCATTCAACGAGGTCCCTACCTTTTTGGGCTTCATAGGACACGCTTTTGCTCTGCAGGGTGGCTCTAATACCTACCTATGCGTTTGGAGAGACAGACCTCTATGATCAGCACATTTTCACTCCTGGGGGCTTTGTCAACCGCTTCCAGAAGTGGTTCCAGAGTATGGTACACATCTACCCTTGTGCTTTCTATGGACGTGGCTTCACCAAGAACTCCTGGGGCCTTTTGCCCCATGCACTGCCTGTAACCACCATCGGTGAGTGGGCGTTTTTTGCCAGCAGCCTCAGTCTGGGACACAGGATCCAGCTCTAAGGCTGAACGTCAGCTCTGACTCTGCTCAGAGGCAGGGAGGCTGGCTAGGATGAGTGGCAGCTTTGAGGTGAGGATGGGAAAAGTCTGGGCTTGAGGCCTGGGGTCCATTCTGAGGAATGAGCTATTCTGATGCTTTTCCCTTTTCCTTCACTGTCTCCCCTGGCAGTCGGGGAGCCTCTACAAATGCCCAAGATTGAGAATCCGAGCCAGGAGATTGTATCTAAATATCACGCACTCTATATTGAAGCCTTACGTAAACTGTTTGACCAGCATAAGACCAAGTTTGGCATCTCAGAGACCCAGGAGCTGGAGATAATTTGACAGACATCCCCAGCAGCCTTCAGCCTGGCTGGAAGGTATGGACCCAGTGAGAACAGGAGAACAAAAGTCACCTGTGGGGCCCCTGCTCCTGATTTGACCAGTCCTGGTTGTTCATTTGCTTGTTTCCTGCACTCCTTTTCCCACTTCATTTCTTTTTCCTTCCAGCTCTTCTCTGCCCTTTTCTTGTAGCTACAGGAGAGAGAGTCCGAAGAAACAGGGAAGAGCCTAGGGCAGAGGTGCCCAGAAGGCGCTTTGGCACCAGCATTGAGGAAAACAATGGACAAAATAAAAAGCCCATCTTCTGATATGCTGTGTGCACCAACTACTCTGTTTTGAGGGCTCTGGGATTCCTGCGCATGTCTCTCTTTCTCTAGCTCTCAAACAGCCCCATCTCCTGGCATTAAGACTCCTCTAGGACTGGGGCCTTGAGAGCCTGTGGGCTTTGAGTTCAAGCTCCACCAACTTCAAGCCATGTGACTCTGGGGCAATCAGTCACCTCTGAGCCTCCTTTCTTCATCTATCACATGAGACTAACAATCTGTCCACTGCTTACCTCAAAGGCTATTGGGAAGTTCAAACAATACTGGATGTGATTGAACTTTGTAATCTGGAGAGCTACACCAACCATTTTCTTCTCCAATCATTTTACCCATTTCCTGTCCCTGATCAAACAGTGCCCTAAATACCCTCTGCTACCTACTAGCCCACACTCAGTTTCCATCTCATAAAGCTGTAACAGAATAGGTTGGGCTCAGGCCTAATTTTCTCTGATGTTCCCTCAGCAACTTGCCTATACTTGCCTGGCCCTATAATTCTGCCCTTTATTTGAGAGTCAGCCAGCCTGCTCAGGATGGAAATGAGACGCCTGGCTTTTAGCAGCCATAAATAACTCTCCTTCTGAATGGCAAGTCTCTGACTCTTGGTCCAATGGCTGTTGCAATGACAGGCTTCAAAATTTGGCTCACAGCCCCATCATTCCATCCCTCTCATGTGGGTGCCATTTGGTCCAATGATTTGCCTGCATTACATTCGTCAATTTGGTCTACAACATCCTGTGTGTTTATTGTAGTATGAGCTGCTGCCTCTGCCTTGGGTGCCTGCCTCATGTGATGATTTGTATACAGTGGGCAAAGACATGCTTCCGCTTTTCTGCTGTCTTTGTTACTTGTTGTGCCAGAAATTACATTTTCCCTGAGCTTCCATAAGGTGTTTTTAAATAGTCTGCAGCTTTCCTGTGACTGGTTTCCTTAAAAAAAAAAAACAAAAAAACAAAAAAACAAAAACCTCTAAGGTGGCCAGAGGACCAGCCTGGGCTCCAACACCCAGCCCATGTACACCTGGTCATTGCAGATTTGTCGCAGTCTACTGTGTGCACATTGCTCTACCTATACGATGGTGGTGGGTGGGGGGCGAGGGATCAAAGGCTGCTGGGGTTGTGAAAAGTGCCAGAGTGCTCTTGAGCTACGTGTTCTTGAGCTGCTATCTGGTCTTCTTCCCGTGAGTCTCTTCCTTATTGATTTCAGCTCAGGATGGATGAAGGTGGAAATAGGCAAATACTACTTTTCCAGGTAAAGGTAGACGAGCAGCCTCGGCTGGGAAGGAATCAGACCAGTCTGACACACTTACTAGTTGGGGGACCCTGGGTGAGCTTCTTAAAGTGTTGGTTTCCTCATCTGCAAAATGAGGAGTTGGAGGCTGGGTCTACCCAAGCTATTTGGGGCCCAGGCCTGAAGTATCTTTTGTAGACGCCACATTCTTAAGCTGAGAGTGACTCAGTTCTGTGTATCGCTGCCCCAGGACAATGTTTCTTTTGGCAGGACATCTAGCCTACCGGTCATGTGGTCACAGAAGACAAGGCAAGCTTGTCTAACCTGTGGCCTACAGGCCGCATGCGGCCCAGAATGGCTTTGAATGGGGCCCAACACGAATTCATAAACTTTCTTAAAACATTATGAGAATTTTTTGTGATTTTTTTTAAGCTCATCAGTTATCATGTTAGTGTATTTTATGTGTGACTCAAGACATTTCTTCTTCCAATGTGGCCCAGGGAAGCCAAAAGATTGCACATCCTGACCTAAGGTAATGGGGATGCAGGAGTGTGGTCTGGGGCATGGAGAGGACATGGGATGTTCCAAAAGGAAATTCAGACCATCTTCCTTCTGTTGCCACCTCTGAAGTGGGTGTCTTAGTCCTTCTCCTAGCTCATGTGTGGTATCATTTGCAAAGAAGCACCTAACATGTAGGAAGTGCTCACCCCGATTTCAAGAACAGACGGGGAAAGCGCTTTATTTGCAAAGAATAAACCATTAATTTACACAAACTTACATCCCAGTTTATATACATTATATATAGTTTATATACATGGTATCTCACACTGGATGCTGACCCCCAAAAGCAGCATTGGGCCTGCTCCAGGCCATTCTCACGACAAAGCCCACCCCCCAATCCCAGCTGGAGGAATAAAGAAATGACACACTGAAAGCCCTCCTGGAAAGACTCCTGAAATTGATTAAAAGACAAAATCAGCTTTGTTCTTTGTGCTCACAGGGCCTAGAGGAGCCTCCAGGTAGGGATGGGTCCTGAGGCAGCATTACAGTAGCCTAAGGACTTGCTGGTATCAGGCCAGTCTCTGCTTTCCAGTCTAGAGGCTGGAGCTGGGAGAATGCCTTGGGAGGAGGAAGAGCTGCAGCTGCTCTCTCCCTGCCTGGCCAGGCTCCTGAATGGGGCCAAGCACTTCCAGCCTGGAGTCTGTGGGTAGAAGAAAGAAGACAGCCGTGTGGGACAGGAACTGCTCTACCTACTCACTCTGCTGAGTCTGGAGGTTGGGGCTTGCTCACCACTTGGGGTAGGTCATCTTCTCTCTCTGGGCCTCAGTTTCTACATAAGTAACATAGGGTGGAATGTAGGTTGGGCTAGATTCCCTCTAAGGGCCTCTTTAGCTCTAAATTTCTCTGAATCTATTTGCATCCACAGGAAGTTACATAAAGACACACACTCATAAATGGATTAAAGTCTTCGTTTACCTCCAGGGTTCCTAGCTCTTTCCTGTTCAGCAAAAGAAATTTGGCTCAGGATGGATGAAGGGGGAAATAGGCAAATACTACTTTTCTGGGTAACCAGTAGCCGAGCAGTCTTCGCCAGCTGTCTTTTGTGCCAGCTTGGCTGTTGAAGCCCAAGTAGCTGGCAGAGACTCCTGCCATGCAATTCTCCTTCAAATCTCTGTCATCTGCTTGCCCACAGATGGCCTCGTCCCATTCTCCATGCTAGCCTGGGTCCTCTGGCAAACTCACACCAGCATAATTCCAAACTGCACATTTATTTCCACATTCTCTCATCTGTAAATTGCTTCGTCACTTTGCCAATGACTTAGCAGCAATAGGGCTCCCCAGTTACCTACTGCTTCCCTCATCATCCCTTGCCCTCTAGAGTTCCTTTGGAAGGTTCAGAATGAATCAAGAGTCCAGTGAAAATCCTATTTCCTTTGTCATCCCCTCCATGTCTGTAGCACAACTGGGAAGACTTTTCCTCCCCTCTCCTCACACCCCTCTGGCCTCGGAACCAGTCCTCTTTTAGGTCTTCCCTCCATCCTTGACAGACTCTGGTAGTATCAAAATTTCTAAGGCATGGAGGAAAGAGATAAGGAGTCACACTAGTAGTTGTGGGAACCGGGCTGGCTCCTCTAAGCTGTCTGTAGGGTAATGAAAGAAGGACCTTTCCCACATCAGCAGCTCCACACATGATGGTTGGGTGGTTCCTTGGATGGGTGAAAGAACATAAAGGCCACGAGTTCTGTGGGTCCCAGAGGCCTGCTGCTTCAACATGGTGCCAGGAAGATTCTTCTGAACATAAGAGCTCTAAGGCTGATGGCTGTTTCCCAAAGAAATGTCTGACTCCTTTTGCCACAGAGCCCCTCGCAGCCAAGAGGACAGGTATTACCACTGAGGAATAAAAATGTGCATCTCTGGGTTTCTCCCTAGAACCCTCAAGGATTTCAGTTCCAAATTACCACTTTTATTGGATCTCTCTAGACCTCAAATTCCATACAATGCTGTGGTGTAATGGAACAGCTGTGGAGTCAGACCTGGCTGAAGCTCCAGGTCTGTGACTTAAATTGGTCAATGCACTTAACCCCTCTGGGCCTCATCTAAACAATGATGTTTATCATATTATCAGCCTTGCCTTCTTCAAAAGAGATAATAAAAGATAAATTATTTTCCAAACATGAAGGAGAGGTTCTTGTGGGTTCCTGCTACAACTGCAGACTGTCCAAGGCACTTTATAGGAGTTAGGGCCAGATACATGCCTGGAGTTCACCTCACCTTGGGTTGCAAGGCTGTCGTTAGCAACCAGACAATGGAGGCCCAGCCCATCTCCTCTCACCCTGACCCTTGAAGGGTCCTTGCTTAGAAAGGGAAGGCACAGCTGAGAAAGAAGTACCTGCTGTTCTTGGTGGATTTCAGCTGCCTGAAGGAACTTATTCCCCATCTCATGAAAAGGAAACACATTTCAGGAGCAGGAGGAGCAGACTGTACAAGGCTGGCTTTCCTAGGTTTGGGCTGGACCTAGCACCCAGAAGCCAGGCTGAGCCCAGGCAGTTTGTAGTAAGGCCCTTGAGGGTCTATCATATGATCTGGTGGGAAGCTTGGGGTTTAGGGGAAGGCGCATTTGGACCTGAACTAGGGAGCAGATCCCTGCCCAGTGCCTAGACACTGGCTTCTCCTGAGCCTGGCTTCAGGGGAGCAGCATGACCAATCTGCAGTGACCATGCTCTGCTGTGGCTTTTTGAAGCCAGAGTGAAGAAAGACTGGGTCAATATTGCATCACCTGCTGGTCTTTCAGGTAAGGTCTGGCCTAATGTCCACTTAGGTTGCAGCAAACTTGAGCAAAATCCCTGTCCTATCCTCACCTCTTGCCCTTTCTAGGCCTGGTAAAAAGCCTCTACCTTGCTAATGCCCAGGAGCAGTCTACAGTTTGGGAATTTAGAAGGCTGTGGTGAGGGCTACCTGCTAAGAGTTACAAATATTAGAACTTGAAGGGACTTCTGGAGGTCATCCAGTCCAACCCTTTGTCCCCAGACAGAATTTGATTAGGATTGGATGAAAAATATTTGTACTGCTTAATAAATGGAAAATTCTCTTTGTGCCCAGGTAAACTAAAGAATATCCCACTCACATGAGCACAGGTTCCAGGTTAGGCACCTGTCTCAGACAGAGGTAGGCTCTGTGGAGAAAGAAGACATGAGTTCTAGTTGAGCTGGGAATGGGGACAATTGGAAGGGGACCCCAGGGAGTTTTCTGAGTGTGGAGCACAGCTGTAAACAAAATGAGAGACATGTGACCCATGTACAGATTCAGGTTCTTATGTGGGCAGGTTTGTGGCCATTCCCTGTGACTATTCCAAGGCAGAGCGAACTTCCCCTTCCCAAAGCCCAGCAAGCTGCCACAATGTGGCTGTCAGCTGGAGTGGAAAGACCCTCCTGCAGGCCACAGTGTAGAGCAGAAAGAACATTCCCACTGCCAAGGATGCTCTCTTGGCAGTTTTCTCTCGTGGTCTCTGCTAAAAGCACCTGCCTTTCCCTCCCTGGCCTTCTTAGGCTGCAATGCTCCCTTCCTACTCTGCCCCTGCCACCATCCTACCCAAGAGAGGAGCAGCAGCCCCCTTGGGGTCAGATGTCCACCCCCAGAGTCTGGAGTGCACCTTTGCTTTCTCTGACCTGCTGCTCCGGATCTTCATTTTAGTGCAACAAACAATAGATCTGATCACAGGGACCTCGGGGTTGAAGAGTCAACATGGAACCAAAGAAGAAGGTTCTGCTTCATGTAAACCCTGGGGCTCCATCCACTGTCCTGTTAACTCAAGGTCATTCTGGAAACTCAAGCAGGCTTTGTCACCCTGGAGTCACTGGGGAATAAATAGCACTGGGGCATTTCTCTCTGCGGCTGCAACACCAATATACCTCACTCCACAGCAGCACTTAGAGGTTCTGAGAATCCTGGCTCCCAGACCCAGGGAAGGGGCATGGACAGAGGCAAAATGGGGGGAATCTAAGATGCAGGGGCTTCACCCAGCCTGATGGCCCCAAAGAAGGTGGTGTGCTTGCTCATGTTGATGGAGATGTCAGCGTGCACCATCTTCACGGCGATCTTCTGCCGGGCCTTAAGGAGGCAGACGCCTGCGGTATAGCAAGTGTTGTAGTTGGTCTTGCCCGTCTCGATGCTGCGT